CTCCTGGCACATTGGTGGCAACAATACAGTTCGGTCAGTTACTGTGCCAGTACAGGCTATAGCTTCTGCCTTCGGTTGGCACTGCAGTCAATCTTATAGCATACATCCTTGAGTCCCACATATTCGACAAATTACACGCAAACATGAATTTAAAGGAGGTGGCTATAAGTCCAAAAAGTTTCCATAGACAGTCAATACAAGCAAAGGACCGGCATCAGAAAGCGTTGTGTGTAATAATAAATGCATAGATATGTATGTGTATCTGTGTGAGTACGTGGGTGCGGGTGAGTGAGTGCTTTGTGTCTAGTTAGCCTCCTATGCAATAAGATGTCATCGACGTCCGCCCATTGCAGATATGCTTGCAAAGGCCCCCTCCGAGGCCAAGTGAAACGGCATTCACAGGTTCTAGGTCAACCAACCCGCCTCCACTGAGACACTTTGCTGTTACTTGGACGCCAAGGATTTGCATGTTTGTTACCTTGACGCATTACTGGGGGACGAAAATTAGCCTATTTGTGCGGGCAACTGACCTTCCAAAGATGCAGAGAGGAGACAATATTCTTGGAAAGGTGCACAAACTTTAGAATTAATGTCTTTGCAAAAATTCACAGAGGCAATTGAGTTTTGTATTCACATACTTTAGGATGTGTCAATTTTGTTCCGTTTCAACAGGGACTCGTAATACTTGAAACCGAAGAAGAATTTTAACGGGGACACGAACCCGATGAATCCAGCCGAATTTTCGTCTCTCTAACGAAATAAAGGCTGGGGCAGAATGAATACATTAATTCAGATGGTCATATCTATAAGGCAAATGACGGGGCAGAAATTCTTCTGGAATGGACTACTTAAAAAGCGAGTAAGAGTAGATTTACTTTCAGCTTTTTGTTCAACCAATAATTGCTACTAATCTAAACTAATGCCTATGGCATCAAAGATGATGGCGAAATGGAGCTACAGAGCGGGCAGTTCACTAAAACTGAGAAGTCTAGACTCCGTTTAGATTGAATTGAGTATTCCTTTCAGGCCCGCAGAGGACCACGCTGGCTCCCTTCTATATGAGGCCTCTGAGATTGTCGAAGAATCTTAAAATCAGTTTTATTTGACATATGACATTGAGCATAAGTTCACTGGGTGGAGCAAGTCGTGCATGAAAATGAATCAACCCTAGAATAGGTACGTGGATGCTGTACGAACCACGTCGTATTTAGTCAAAAATAGGCATGCAACCTATCAAGCGAATCTATTGCCCGAGATTCTTAGAACGCCACTCTTATCTCACACTCTATAGCCACCCTCATATTTACAGAAGATAAGTGGGCTCTGTGTATGCCTCAACTTTTATATTTAGTACGGCTGACAGATCGCCTTTTCGCCACACTCACTCGTAGAAGGGTTTAGTGCCTGGAATTACTGTCACCTGCATCCTGGATCGAGTAAAAATCAGCTACTTATGCACATAATCGCTTAATCGCAAGTGAGTAATAATGCTACTTGTATGCATGAACTTTTATTAGGTTCCGATTATTCCCCTGAGTTACCGCTATTGTGATTATTTTCATTTGCGTGAAATGGCCGGATACAGAGTTGCATTGGTCGGCTCAGTGATGGTTCTAACCATATTCACATACGCCCAACATGTCCACTAAATTCACCAATGCTACTAAATGTCGGTTTGGGATTACGCACTCCCAGTCATGCTTCTCCTTGTGCCAATGTGTGCTAATTAAATTACTCAGAATTAGGAATGATGGTTTCCTACACTGACACTCTTACACACGCATACACATACAAACGCAAATGCACAACCAAATATAAAGGTACTTTAATTAAAATGAAAAGGAATAAACAGATAATTATATATATTTATATCTATATATATTTGTTAAGTCCTTTGAAGGGTTTTAGGAGATATGGTATGCAAAGTGGTGCTGGTTAATCGTTTTGCCTCCGAGCTAACTTGATATTTCGTAAGAATGAGATCCAACTCTGATGAGCGGACAAGAGCCCAGCTCGTTTTCACCCGAACCGAAGGATGTCTTGTGGACTATTTCAACTTAAACATCATAGTAAATTGTTTAGCTTACTTCGATTTCGAGTGAAAGTGTTTGGTGAAGAGATTCGAAGGTCGATCACATGAGAAGACGATGGCTGTATCTTCTTGGCCGGTTGTCGATTGGCTTTACTGGAACATTCTTGTTCACA